AAAGTTCTGGGAAGTGAGTTTCCTAGTCGTCCGCCTGACGGACTCCTCCTGATGTGACATTAAATTAATAAAACAAATGTGGTTTGCTGAGATAGAGCACTTTAAAGGAGGTAAGAGGACAGAAGCAAAATCCTCTTCCCGCACCTCAATTGGTTCCCCGTTGTCCTTTTTTCTTTCTCTTTGGAGTATGTGAGGTTTTAACGGGTGCGTGAGAGAGAGAGAGAGTGTGTGTGTGTAGGTGTGTGTGTGTGTGCGTGGGTGTTTGTGTGCCTCACCTTCACAGAGTTTAAATCCTCCAAATCCTTCTCTGTTGGATGCAGGCCTGTCTGGCTGTTCTACGGTACGGAGATGATTCCACCCAGCAGCAGCTGCCTGCTGTAGTTTGTGGACTAGTTCCAACACACACACGCACAGCCACCCACATACACACACACCTACACACACGCACACACACATAACATTTTGCAAGGTGTGTGCCAGGAGTACAAAACAGGCTTTACTTCTACCATTATTTTGTTGGAATACAAATTGTGTTGCAGGGTTAAAGGGGAATTTCCACCTTAACTACAACTTAACTACACATTCGAACACGTGTGCGAGACCACACACGCAGGCACACACTGACACACAGTGACACACACTGACCTTTACGCTCTCTCATTAAAAAAGACCCAACATCTCGTTCACATCTATCACCTGACGATCAGAGAGCCGAGACCTTCAACCTCAACCCTCCCGTGGGGGGTGGCACCACAGCAATCAGCACCCTGTCTGCTGAACATCCATCATTTTGACCAGCATCAGGAGGTCGTTACATGACATACAAAATAACACGTTATGACTCAGCACGCCTCAGTGTGACTCATGCTCGTAGACTTCTATTTCAATATTTCATCATTTTTTCAAGTGCTTTACCAAACTAAGACCTCTGCCGTGGAATCAGATTTAGCTGGACTTGCCAAGGTTTGTCTTCATGTTCCTTTTTTTTTCCAGTTAAATACTCACCAAACTCTGTATCAGATAAAATGAGTCCAGACAAGGCATCTCTGAAAACCATTACATTTACAACACCATCAGATTTCTGAATACCAAGTTTGAAAGACTTTTTTTTTTTTTGTTTGAAAAACTTTTACATTTAAATATAATGTCTGAATGATTTTTTGCCAGTTGTTTTAAGTTATACGTAGGGTCTTAGTTTGCTTTTAGTTCCCAGATTTTAACAACACTTGAATGAGTCTTATGTTTTACCTGTTAAACTCACAGTTGTCCTCTTTCCAAAAAGCAGCAGCTGTCTCACTTTGAAGACTTTGCTGTGACAAACTTTTAAAATGTCTTAAAGTTTTCTTATTTTACTTTGGACATCTGAAAATGAGGAAACAAGCTGAGCTCAAGCAAGCAGGAGTCTGATTTGCCAAAACAACCCCCAAAAAAGAAAACAAACAAACAGTTAGTAGTCAGTGTAAAATGCCAATAAAAGATGGACTGCAAATCCATTAAACTTTGTAATTAAAAATAGTGCCAAAGACCAGAAAACCAGTTTCTGGAGTTCTGAAAGTGAAATGTTATTAAATTCTTGCTCAATACACAGTTTTAGAGGCTCAACAGTTTTAACTTTTTTGTTTGTTTGTTTGCTTCATGTTGTAAGAAATATTTCAGGGATGAATCAAGACTTCAGGCAGGCCAGTTTATCATCCAGACTCTCCATCTTTGGATCCACATCGATGCTGTATGTCCAGAATGTTGTTTGGCATTCTCTCATTGCTGAACTCTTGCTGAAAAGAGGATACATATGTGGTCCCTCACCTTTTTAAAACAGAGGACACTACATCCATGATTTGCAAAAAAATATACCACATTTTGAATCAGGGTGTTGTTTTTCACTGGAGTCCATCTTAAACTGGTTGGGTCCAAAGTAGTTTGATGGAATTAACACGGTGTCCTTTTTTTCCTGCAACCTGCATTTGTGGATGCAGCGATGAAATGTGTTCTCAGATGAGGATTTTTGGAAGTGATTGAGGACCCATGCAGTGATTTCCACGACAGAGTCCTGTCTGTTTTTGATGCAGTGTCATCTTTGGGGGGATAAGATCTCAGCTGTACAGAGATCTCTCCTGTCCTACAATGCTTTGATGTGTTGTAGGTGATAAAATTTCACAATTTTATGCTGAAGTACACTCCTCTGAAATTCTTGTAAAGTGTCCGATTACTTGGTGATTCCCTTCCCCCCTCTACTTCTGAGAGACTCAACTTCTCACGAGGGCCCTTATATACTTAGTCATCCTACTTATCTGATGCAAATTAACCTCATATGTTGGAAGATTTGTCCTTGGATGTATTTTTAGCATTCTAACTTTTCTCTGCTTTAGTTGTCTCTGCACTAACCTTTTTGAAACATGTTGCTGACAACAGATTTTAGAGGAGCATATCATTTTCATAAAACACAAAAATGTTTTTGTTGGTATTTTGCCTTCACACAGCTGGTATAGTCAAACTGGTGTCAGCTTGACTGACAAATTACACTGTGAGTTAAATGTTTGTGGCCCCATACATTTGATTTCCATCAGTGCTCGGGCGTCTTTTTGTTTCTGTTTGCGGATGCAGCTACTCGCAGCTGGAGTCCACCCCGGCGATGTAGTGGCTTATACTCATCTCTGATGGAAGCTGAATATTGATGGGATGCTTTCCCCCCCTGTGGACATCAACACTTCACAGAAAGAAGCATTACAAACCCTGCCTGGTGCAGACTTTGTGAATTAATGCTCTCTGTAAAAGCTTTCAAATCTTTAAAATCTGACGTGCTCGGCTAATGCACACCAAAGCTGCAGTAATGGCAAAATAAATGTAAGCAATTAGAGTAAAAGTTATCACATATTACATAAAAGTCATGACGAATAGTCAAAGGAATTATCCGTGGGCATATAAAATTTTTCATCCTGCTGCTTTGTAAATAAACATGTTGCATTGCTTTGTCTTTATCCTCATTTCTCGTCTACCTTGCAGCCATTACTCACGCACATTTGCATATGGAGTAGTTAGGAGGCACCGCCACCGTTTTGTGTGCTCGTACTGTATGCGTTTGTGCCGATCCGCTTTCATTTACATCCAACAAAGGCTGACTGAAGAGCTCCCCACTTCTCCACTTTGTATTGATCCGTTAATTGCGCCGCTTAGGTGTAAACATGAATCAATGCTATGGTGTTAGAACAAACAAGGCACGCAGGCTCTAAATTAATTAGCCAAAAATAACAAGCGGGGCCTCTGGTGGAACAAACAAAAGAGAAAAAACAGTCCAAAAAGTTATATTGTTAGACTCAGCTGGGATGTATTAGCTACAGGAGAGTTGTGTTTGTGCACCTGATGGAATACTCTTTCATGTGGGGATGTGAGATTATCCCTCAAAATGAGCTGGAAAAGCACATGTTAGTTGGAGAGAGGAGACATTTAATTTCTAGTATGCCTTGCAGGGAGCTGAATTCATAATATACTGTATGTTACTGAATAAGAGATTTTATGCATCCCTTGCAAGTGCTGACATTTAATAATCAGTATGCTGGAAAATGAAGAATTACACGAAATGCATGCATTAAATCTCACAGAGTTTCAAAAAGTAGAATTAGTATATCTGGATATGCAGTAATAAAAGAATGAATGTTTTTCATGTGCAGGGAAATGATGTGTATATGAGGCTTCAAAAGGAGTCACAGAAAATATATCTGGTCATAGGCAGGAGATTGAGTGAGGTATCGGGCCTCGCCGCCTCGCACTCTCATGTTTATAAAACAGCTTCATCATCCGCTGACATTATTATGGCGAGCTCTGATCATTTCCAGAGCACGGCGCCTTGGTATGAAAGTGTTTCATTTAGAAACAGACATCTGAAGTGACTCAAAGGCCCACAACTTCAGATCTTCACTTTTGCACCATCAAACAAAGTCACAATTCTGAGGGAGATGTCTGTTAGCACATAACAGCGCTTCAGTGAGAAGATGCAAAGCTTTGTGCAGTTTTTAGAGAAGATGAAAAGCTCAATTTATTTTTTCTCGGGACTTTTTTTTCTGTCTTTTAAGTCACTTTATCCATGTCTGTCTTTTAAGTCTTTTCTGTAAACGCCTTTAAAAGCAGTCTTTTCTTAGTTCTTCGCTGCTGCCATCCTCATACAAAACTGCAATTAGTGCAATGAGAAATGAATATGCATGCCCTGTTAATACTGTCACCTCTTGACTTTGTGAAAGTCGTAAAATAGCACAAGAAGATTTTCAACATTGAGTCACAGTTTTTTGAAACTAGCATGACCAATTAACCCAAAGTTAGACAAATAACCAAAATTCCTGTTACAAACGGCCGTCTGCTCATGATATAAAAAGATCCCCCTTTTGCCGGAGAGGTGTCAGACTGGCCTGACAATAGGTTTTCAATCGCCGACAAGCTGCAGCCTCACCGACAGCAAAGCGGTGACCCTCCTTCTCATCCCAGCCAGAGTATAAAGGCAACCTTGACTGCAGTAATTACAGGCTACACACCACTACCCGCCAATTACAGAGCAATATTTTGATGAGTTTGTCACCACAAACAGGAGCTAAGGCGGTTCAATAAGAGCCACAACAAAGACGCTTTGAGCGTAAACAACAACTTTTTTCATCTCTTCAGCTAACTCGCTGCTAATTTAACTCCTGCCAAAAAACAAATAAATAATGAAATCTTGAAGCTCAATTATTTATTTCTAAAAATGAAGGAGGTGTTAAGGATAATATAAAGTTTGCAGTTTGTTACAGTGGATTGGAGACTCAACTGGATGACTTTGTCAACATGCCGAAAAACATCCAAGTACCAATGAACATTTTGTGATGAATATTGAAAGCAGAACTCTGAAAATGTTTGACTTAATTCTTGGCTGATTCCAGACGTTTTTCTTTGGTGGTGTGACTCAGTTGTGGTTTGCACCAAAGCCACCCAAAGAAGGTCTGGATAGATGGTGGGTGAACAAGACTCAATCTGTGTGTGGTTGGGCTATGGAGCAAAGGGACTTTGGTTTTGAGTGGTGCAAGAGTAAACACAGCATGTTGTACCAGGTGCTGAAGAGTTTTGCCAAATCATAACAAGACTATGATATTTTTTTCTTCCCTTTCTTTTTGCCTCCATCACTGCTGTCCTACTGTAACTACAATATGTGAATTGTGAATTATGCCCTTGTTACCAAGAGTATATTGAATTGCATGAGCAAATCTCACGGGGAAACAAATGGAATAAAAGCTGTTCACTTTTAACATGTTGCTACTAAAAGCTTTCCTTCATAATTTACATTTAAAAAATAAATATCTTTTTTTTTTCATGTTTGCATAAACTACTGGTAATAAGTGGCGGCAATAAAAAATAAAATAAATAAAATAAATAAATAAATAATTTTAAAAAAGCTCTCACAATCCTTCCAGTTCATCAAATGTCAAATATCTCAATATTTAGTTTCATGTGATTATCGAAATGTCAAATAATGGTGGAAAAAAAAGACAGAAAATTGGACTGAACCATTAATATGAAAAGCAACTTTATTACCAGATGTGCAATAAGAATGGATAAACACAGCAGTGTCATCGGCATAAGCACAAATACCAATAAGATCAAATGTGCATGAAAACCAAAGCAGAACCGGTGAAATTTGCCATTAATATCAGAATCATAAATGCTTCTTGTGCCGTTTCGGCCAGTCTGACACAGGCAGAAAAATTATATACATACCTTTAGCAGGTGGGGAAGATGTTGAATTACTTCACTCCCTCCTTGAGCGTTGTGATCTAAGTCTGTCAGTATTTCCAACAGTGCAACAGATACATACTTCTCTGAGCCACAGGCATTTTTCAGGTCAATCCAAGGCCACATGAAAAAAAGGTTGTGAAGCTTTTACATTAAAAACGTTGGGCCTAAATAAATGTTTTGACAAAAATATCGACTTCACTTTATAAGACGAAGGAAAAAGAAAAAGAACAAAAACAACTGGCCTGAGTTTGCTTTGCTGTCTTTACCTGCACATGGCTCCTTTCTCCCACCGGTGGAGCTTCTTCCCTCGTTAAGGAACCAGGGGTGCTCTGCTCTTCTGTAAACTGTGTCAGAGCACAACCCTCATGGAATAGTAGTGAAAACACTGACTTGGCGGGATACCTCATCGATGGCATTGCAGCATAGTGCTTTCGATGTGAATGTACCTCGTCAGCTGCAGGAAAAGAATGAAGATGTCTCAATATAAAATTCTCCCAAATACTCATATATGTCAAGTTTATGATCTCTGAGTTGAATTAACAAACTCACAAAGACAACAAACAGAAGAGAATGGCATTATGGGATTGATGATTGCTGATGTACTTCACCTCATAATCAAAATCAGTTTTCCTCCAACGTAAAAACACAAACATAATCTGATATCTGTAAGGGATAGTGTGTGTATGGCTTTGGGGTGAAAGTGTGATTGGGGCAAGCACAGGTAGACAGAGGGTAACTCTCTCCTTTGAGTGGGGAATTAGTTTGACCATTTAACCCCCCTTAACACCAGCCCTTATGTCTGAGCCATAAACACGCTCACCAAATTCACAAAAGTCAATGGGAGACACCGGGTAAAGGGGTTCAACTTTGGATGGAAAAGCTTAAAAGCAGGCGGGAGAGCAAATGAAAACAACATCCCTTTAAATCAGCTGCTTACCTTTCTGTCAGCTCTCCTATCAATCCATCTTTCCCTCATGAATTCCTCCTCTGGTCTTGCTCTTGATCCTTTACCCTGCCAGATTTTAAACTATCTTTTCCAGTGCCGTGTTTCAATCTCTTAGCCTGTCCCTCTTTTGCATGCCATTCCTGGCGTATCGTCCCCTCTCCCAGATGGCGGCTGATCTGCGAGACGTCTCATTCCACTTCCCACATATGGAGCCCCTTCACTGGGCAAAGGAGGCTCTTGATCCCCTTCCCAACACCCTTCCTGCCTTCTCCTTCTAGGCAAACTGAAGCAAAGCCAAAAACCTAGATCAGGTCCCTGTGGGAAATGTATCCCTCTCGCCACAGGAGGCCAGGTATTCTAACACCAGGAGGCCTGGCTGGAGCGACAAAAATGTGTGATACACCGATCCAAACTCTGATCCATTTGGTAGCAGCTTCGGTGTCAGATGCATCCCATGGGCGCCTCCTGCTGCAGTGTGAAACGCAAATTAACAATGCTCATTCCCCCTCATTGGTTCCCGAAGCCACCTGATTATGGTTCTATCATTCCATTAGAATATATATTACTTTAATAGATTCAATTTCATGATTACACAGATAAATATGAGATAATCTCCAGGGGTGTTTTGTGGGATAGTTATCAGCGAGGATACATATTAACATTTTCCACACTATGCATATTTAGGCGGCGGGGTTGTGTGTACAAGATTGAATGCATGAGTTGTTGCTGTGGGAGTTAAACAGGAATGGGCTCGCAATTTCTCAGCTTATTAAAATGCAGCTATACGGAGGGCTGACTTAAATGGATAACTAACATGCTTGGTGCATCGGGGACAGGATGCATGGAGACGACTAAGGGTTAGAGAGGAGGAAGCAGACATTAAGATAGCGAGGGATCCAAACAGCCACCTTCATAAAGTTTAACAGCGATGTAAAATGTGCTGATTGTTTATGATCAGTGCGAGAGGGAGTCCAAATTGGCCAACAAAAGCCATCGCGAAGAGCGCTTATTAATTGCTGTGTGCTTTGTTACCGCCCTGGGTGTAATAATCAAGTGTGGATTGTTTTAATCAGCCTTGGCGTGATATTATGAGCTCTGAGAAAAGTTGATTTTACACACTGATGAGTTCGGAGTGAATCGGCGTTCAGAAGACAGACCGATAGGCGAGAAGAGAGTCAGAGAAAAAACGGAAGAGTAAAGTTGGGGTCCGAGCAGCAATGAATTGGCCCTTGCTCCTTAGTGGACGTTGCAGCTGCGAGGTGTGTGGAAGCTGTGGGGCAGGAGTTGGCAACCAGCAGCCCTCAGCCAGCAATAATATCTGCAGGGCTGCTGGATTATTATTATATATGTTAGTATTTTTTCTAAATCGAGTCATGACAGTTAGAGGCAGGCGCAAACATTCACACCACAGTCTGCAGGGCAAACAGCACTGCAGACTGTGGACAGCGCCTGATGCTGAAACGAAGGACTGTCCCTGCAGCAGCAGCAGTTATCAACAGAATCACATCTTTCATGAAGTCATCTTCTTTTTAACTCTTTCTGTTAAAGTCTACAGTATAAGTGTTTTGTATGAAAGGCCTAGCACCAGGTTCTTACTGAATAAACTATGGTAGTATTTATCGTATTTTTGAGCTTTCGTGGCCCTGTCTGGAGTGGAACGGCCAAACTGAAGGTAGTGTAACAACATTTTTTTGCATAATATACACACAGCAGTTTCGCATTTACAGGTAATGTCCATCATTTTATGTTTACTATAATTTTGCTGTCAAATTTCCACTTTAGGGGTTTTTAAAGAGACATTTTCCATGCTAGCTGCGTTGAATGTACGGCTTTTATTCACTCTGTTCATGACAGGGGAGCTGCATGTGCACAATAATAACGCTTCAAGTAAGTGAGGAGGGGCAACCACTGATGGAAAGAAAAAAACAGTGAGAGTAAAAGTTGAAATCAATTATTTATATCAGTTCTCGGTGCTTTACAAAGAGGTAGCCATTTCCAAAACAATAAGGAAACACATGGGGTTTCTTTTTTTTTTAAGTGGAAGTAACACAGTCCATTAAGTATAACAAATGCCTCATATAAGCCAGTTATTAGTCATATTTGTGGCTGTTTGCCTCTGACTGTGGCACAGTTGGGTAAGCTTTTGTAAAAGACACCCTGTAACAGACTGCTGTAAATTTCTACTGCATTATTTTATTGAATCAAGTTTATAAATTAACATTTGGATATGTTCTGGCTCGCCATCTGGGGGCTCAGAAAAAAGTCTGGCCCAAGGCCAACCTTCCATACCTTCTCCTGCTGTAGCTGTGACTTTGCTTTGCTGTGCTAAAATGTAAACATGTGCTCCAAATGTAGATGAGCACAGGCCAAGATTAACAGCATATATGTAAATGTCGACCATATGGAGCACCGTGTAAGGTCAAACTTTGTTTTAGTACCAGGTGGGGAAGTTATTCTCTGCGGTTATGTTTAAGACAATGTGCTTATAAAATATTACAAATATAATGGACATGGTTGGAGGATCCTAGAGTGAGTTAAACTAAATGTAGAAAATATTTTTAGAATTAAATCAGAATGCTAGACTTCATGTTGGGTTAAGGGTGTGAGTGTAAGAGGGTTTTTCATCTTGGCATGATTTATATGTATTCCCTGATTGATACCTGTGGGTTAAAGCAAACTCTATAAAACTCTGTTTTGGGGAAACTTAAAGTCCCACTCAGATTTTTTTTTTTTACTACTTTAAGTGTTATCAATGTTCTTTAAGTTGTGATTACGAAGTTTTTAACCAAAATCAAGTTATCTGTGTCATTCTCAAGGATTTTTCTTCTGCAGAGCTTCAGTAGCTCATTAGCAATTAGCCTCTGAGTCGTGGGCGGAGACGGCGCTGCTTCTCTTTGCATTGTAGCCTAATATTGCCGGTGTAGTCAAAGTAGAGGTAACATAGGAGCTATTCAGCTCTCAGACACTGATGTCGTTAGGGACATGATGAAAGTTAATATTTTATTTAGCTTTCTTACGAGCATTGCAATCTGCTAATGCACACGCTTGTTCCCAGATTGTCCTCTCTATTTCTCTGAGTCTAGCTTGCATAGCAGGGCTCCAGGGGTGGAGCTTGGATTTGCTATATAGGAAATCTCACTGGTCTGAACTTGCCGTTTGGGTCTGCCAGAGATTCACAGCAATTTGAATGCAGAAATACTCAAAAATGCAATTTCGCTCTTACTTTTCTCATGATATGTCCTGTAGCATCAGAAAAATGCCATATAAAGTCTTTAAAGGGTGTGCTTTAGAGCCAGGTTTGCAAAGTTGTGTGAAAGACAGTTACTTTTTTTATCAGACGTGTTGCCAAAATGAATTAATTATTTAGTGCTCGTAATGTACAGGGGTTCCATCGGGACTCATGCCCTGTTCTGGGCTCGTGCCCCAGATCTGGAAGGGGCAAAATGAATACAGAGGCAGGAAGTTGCAGGGAAATGAAAGTGCGGTACACTGATTGAGAGGCGGTACACACGGATGAGTGTTTGGCTCACACACACACACACACACACATACACATGCCGACTGAGTGAGCAGCAGGGCTGTGGAGTGTAAGCAGGTGTCCTATGGGAGAGAGTGTACCATTAGCAGATCATTTCCCTCTCCGCTCCAGCAGGCCCTCCTCTATCATACCTCTGCTGTCAGCACTGCCTCGGAGGATTACTGGGAAAGAGAGAAAGGGAGAGAGAAAGAGAGAGAGAGAGAGAGGAAAAAGGGGGAGGAAAAGAGAGGGATAGAAACTGGGCAAACGGGTGGGGAAGGAGAGCAGAGTGTGAAATTGAATCTTGCATAGACCCTATGTGCCCTCAAAACTGTGATTATTACCCAGTGGACATTTTTATCCCTGTCTCCCAATTCATTTTCCCCCTGGGAGAATATCGCCAGAACATAATGACTATGGCGGAGCTGAAGGTCTATGTTTACCAGAGGCTACTTCAAGGAAAAACTAGTAAATACCAGATATAGCTGTTACAGGAGTTGTCCTGGACTCTGGATCCCGGTCCACAAACACAGAGCAGACACAGCTAAAAAAATGTCGCTGTGGTTTGTTTTGGTGGAGTGGGTCAGTACGTGACACCTCCCCTGATCCCTGACCCGCCGTCCCTCTTGAGAGCCGCGCTAGCTGGGGGCAAAGTGGTGGCCTGGCTGGCAACATGCCCACTGTCATCAGAGATAAGGACGCCTCTCCACATCCAATGCCCAGGGACAAGGGGGAGGAGAGGCTGCGGAGATGGAAGGTCAAACTGGAGGAGGAGGATGGACGAAGGGTGAGAGGGGTGAGAGGGCTGAGAACGGGTAATGGAGTGGGAGGATAGAGAGAGAGATGAAGGGAGGCTGAGAGGAGCTCAAATCCAACACAGCCTTCAGCTGCCGGACATCACAGACATGTGAACGCCTGTATGGAAATATCCCACTAGGCTTTGCGCTGTGACATGAAAGCAGACTGCAAAACAGAGGCAAGTTATAAATAACGGAGTGGTAAGCAGGGTGCAATAGAGCACAGTAAAACAGTGCACACATGCATCCATGCATGTGTAGCCATATGCTTTAGTAAAAAAATGGTTCCTTATGCATGAACACATTACTTCCTATGAATAAAACAGTGTAGAACAGCTCACTCATGTGCATATCAAACAATACTGTTGTCAACAGTTTCCTTCTAAATTTCAGCACCATGTTGCTGCTCGTAAAACTGACAGGATTGTGGAGCTTTTGGTTGCATGGTCAACATTGATAACCAAGACCAATGCTCACAAAGGACAGTGGCTTCATCTCAGGGGCCTTAGATTGTATCCATTAGGGTTGGGCATCTTAGGTATAAGGCTGATACGATACACGTCTCGATCCGATGTCTCCGATCTGATATATTATAGATACGTGTGTGGCATTATGCGATGCAATATTATACGATTCACACCCAAATCCCGATACAGAGCTACTCTTTGGGGTTTGCTCAGTGTCTACCCTGTCTATCTTCAAACTTTGTTGTAGAGGGCAGGGATCTGCTTTTTAGAGAATAAGTTTTGGTTTAGTATTTTACAATGAGGCTCCTAGACATGGGGGGAGGTGTTTGAGACATTTGTTTTCTGTTACACTGTAAGTCTGAATATCTTTGCAGATGAAGAATGCTGTAGCGTTATTGCCATCGAGCATGTTGATTTGTTAGCAAGCAGTCTGGGAGAAACTTGCAGTACTTTGCTCACCACTTTTGGAGCTACCGGCAAATCCTGGAGCTGGAAGCAGGGGAAGCGGGGGCTCTAGCAGACCCCTCCACGACAACACTGTGGCACTGAGTTATCGGGTTAGTCGTACTGCCTGTGTATTGTACAGCAGCGCGGCACATTTTGCGAATCTGTCTTGTCAAGTCGCCCGTCTTTCATGTAAAACCCGTAGTGTTGCCAAACTTAAGTATAACACTTATTGTATCAATACAAACATATAATAATGATACATCTCAATAGGCATTCAAAACTTCAAAGCTTTCACTCTCAGCTGCCCTACCGATGCACCCGCATCTTGCACATGCGTGACCGCGTATCGATGTGTTAGTTAATCTTCTCATCCCTCGTATCCATGCATCCCACACTTGCATGTTTCCCGTGTTTTAGCCCCACCAGAGATGCATAAAGAGAGGCAAGGAAAGAGAAGTTAGGGGGAGAAGCAATCAGGAAATCTGACGACATTTCATGTGACACATATGATAAAGTGACTCCATTTTTCCCTGTAGACAGGAAGTGGATGTGTTGGCCAGAAATGGATGGTGTTTATTAGAGGAGGGAGGTGCTAACTAAAAGGCCTCAGTTTGCAGATATTCAATTCATCTAGGCCTTTATCTCCTCCTGGTAGGTGGTCTATGCAGATACAATAATAAACAATAACTTTATTTTTCCTCAAAGGGAAATTTAGCTGTCTTGAATCTCATGAAAAATTGCCATTGGAAAGACGGTTAATAAAATGTGTAAATACAGTCAGGTGAGATGAGATGGTAGCATGACTGAAGTCTCCTGGTATTATTAAAACTGCCGTGGGACGTTGAGTTTGTTTCCTAGCAACAGTATCATAGAGAATACATGTAAACAAGCATTGTTATGAGATGACTGAACTCCCTTGGAACATATTATGGCCGATGGGCAACTGCCAATAGTTCAACATCTGGACAACACAACTTCTCTATGACAGTTATGTGTGAAGAGTAACACCATCTCTGGTTCACAGATAAAGCCAGACCTCCTCCTTTCTTCTTGCCACTATCTTTAGCATCTCTGTCTGACCTTATGAGAGTGAAGCCAGGTAGATCCACACTGGAGTCTGAGTTTTTTTTATTCAACCAGGTTTCAGTAAAATACAGGAGACCGCACTCACAGTATGCTTTCTTAATCTTCACAAATACCTCCAGTTCATTGCTTTTGTTGGGCAGATAGTTCATGTTTTCCATGATGACTGATGGAAGAAAGGGTTTACATCTCCATTTCCTAGCCTTCAACTTTGCCTTTATCTTCGCACCAGCAGTACAACTATAAAACTCCTCCAGTTGTCCGCCTTGGATGTTTGATGTTATTGTCCCAGTTTGCTTTGTCTCACTGAAAGAGGCTCTTCTCTTGAGTAAACTCTTTTTCCAGCAGAAATATCTATCAACAGCTGAAAAACGTGGAAAAAATAGAACAAAATTGTATAAGATTCAGAAAGACCAGAAAAAGATTCTAAGACTTGGACTTGAGTCACACTAAAGTCAGTCACAAATGTTACTCCGGTTCAGTGTCATCCTTCAAAAACTCAAAACTGAATCCTGACACAGGCACAGTCTGTGTACTGTATAGCATTTTTGGCTCATTAACAATTCGAGCTAGATGTCATTCCTTCCCGTCATGTGGATCCATCTGTATCTCCACAGTCAATACCTGGGCAGGTAGTCCGACTTTGTTTACTGACCCCTTTTACTTTAGATTTGTCAAAATAGGACTACAAACTTCTGCCATTGGATAAACAATCACCTGGGTCTGTACAACCCATTATGAATGGCATCAAACAGAGAGAGACAGAGCTTTCAGTAGGTCTGCATCTCTCTGCAGTGATTGAGAGCCAAGCCTCATCAAAAGTAAAGACATTGTTATCGTTGTCATTTTCTTCCGTTTATCCGGGTCCGGGTCGAGGGGGCAGCAGTTTCAGGAGGGAAGCCCAGACGACCCTCACCCCAGCCACTTCCACCAGCTCCTCCGGGGGGATTCCCAGGCACTCCCAGGCCAGGCAAGAGGTATAATCCCTCCACCTGGTCCCGGGCCGGCCATGAGGTCTCCTCCCGGTGGGACATGTCCGGATTACCGCTAACAGAAGGAGTCCAGAAGGCATTCTAACTAATGTGCCGGAGCCACCTCTCAGTAAAGACGAAAAAAAACAAAAAACGTACCCAATTCATGAATTCATTTATTATCCCTTCTGGGGCAAAAGGCTGGCTGGAGCCCATCCCGACTGTCATTAGGCAGAAGGTGGGTGTACCCCGCCTACTGACAGGTTGCCTGTCTATCAAAGAGCTGATATAGATATAGAGACAGACAACCAATCAAGCAGACCTTCCCACATACAGACAACCTAGAGTGGCCAATTAACAGTGGGTTCTCTTTGCGTACTCCCACGCATGCACTGGGGGGACGTGCAAATACCCAAGACCCTACTTTATGTGAGGCAAACACTAACCTCTGCACTTATACCAAATCTCTGTAATAATTGTAGCAACTTCAGATAGTATTGAGTGCTTCTGGCATTAAAACCTCCAGTTTCCTCATGCACTGAGGGAAGGGTAAATGAGGCATAGGCGGGTCACCTGTTTAAGTGTATATCACAGTTTGAACATAGACTTATTTATTGACTTATTTATCCCCTTGCATTAATGTATTTCTGCTCACTTTATCTTGTTTTTTGTGTTATTTGTTTTTATGTGTCATTGTACAGCACTTTGGCTACCCTTGTGGTTATTTTAAATGTGCTGTAGAAATAAAGTTGATTGATTGATTGATTGATAGACGTAGCATTGAAATAACAAAACCAATAGAGAATCATTTGAGATTATTTGTAGTAGCAGGCAGGGCATATGCAGATTTTTATCAGATCTACTCATTCATGATTCATTTACTTTGTTTCTTTAACTTAACATACATGGACACTAATATTCCAAATAATAAATAGATGTTTAAAATCAAATAAATTATCTTGAATTAGACAATAAATAGCGTATTTTAGAGGTGCTATCTAAATACCATGATGGCATTAAGCTGTTAAAGTTTTGCTTGTGTTTATCATACGGATAGAATACTGCATCAAACTACAATTTAAATAAAAACACCTAGACAGAATATTTATTTGCTTTTTTGTGTCAACCTTCACCAGGCCCAAGGAAATCCATGCAGCTTACCCCAAAAAATGTAAGCCTATCTCCACCAACGGTATTTGACCTTGAACAGCGTCCTCTCAGAGGAGAATGTAAAAGCTTCAGGCAAACAGCTTGTGTAGTTTCTTTAAAGTGTCTCGAAAATCCAATAATAAACACGTCTCCTTCTGAAAAGCTCCCTGTGTCAGAACATCAGCGATAAGATGAATTAATGATTTGTGAGTTGTCAAACAGCAATGTTTCTGTCACAGCCAGATATTGATGAGCAGTCCTCTGAAGACAGTGAACAAACAGAGGTGTAAACTGCTCTTGTGTGGAGTCACTGAAATACATCACTTTAGAGCGAGAGCAATCTGTCTTTATCATACACCGCTCTTTTAATGCTTCAAAGATGCACCAAAGAGGACTTCATTCCTTTTGTCTGGCAACAAAAAAATCAATTAGGGTTAAAGGGGGGAAAGTGAATATGTCACTCTGAGCTCTCAAAGCAAATAGCATCAGAAACACAATGTTATGAGGAAATGCCATTTCGAAGACATCCATCTATGCTGCTTTCTGGTTGGTGCATCTGACAACTGTCTGCAAAGAGGTCAGCCAATCCGAAGTTGTTTTGGACAGCCACTCCATAAAACAGAATCTATTCTGGGTCGTCTTGCTTAGTGGAATTTCCCTCCCAGCTCTGACTGATGCCTAAGGCCTTGCTCAGAGCCTGCTGTAACGACGGTAGACTATTTCCGCATCAGTGATAAAAGGAAAGAAGGAGCTGCAGCAGCAGCAGGTCGATCTGGAATTCAGATTATAAATCATAGACAACAAGAAGTCTCTGCTTTTCTTTCACCTCTTTTAAATACCCAAAGGATCCAGGACATATCAGTAATGTAGAAATTAGGGCTACAGCCTCATTATTCAGGTCAGCGTACGCACGTTTCAGCCACATGTGCAGGTTCAGGTGCGGGATGCCATGTAAGGTCAGCGCTGCCATGACCAACCTGACATAGAGAGCTGCTGTCCATCGAGGGGAGGCAGAAATAAAAGCTTCGACCCGGATCAGTGGAGCATCCGACACACTAGCCTGAGTGTTGGGTCTCTGAGGCAGTAGCTGCCGCACTGTCACTCACTGTGTGAACACACACACATACACACACACACAAAGTCATCAAAGGGGCAGAAACAAAAGGATGGAAACTGAAACACCAACTTCAGCTTGGACTTAAAGAGACAGATTTATCCAAAAATTCTCAAATCAGGTCCTGATTGGTTGAAAAAATACTCATTTATAAGGAAGCTGTAGTTCAAACAGACTGAGGGCCAACTCCTAAACATACACATCCATTGACAGCTCCAGAGTGAGACCCTTCTGGTCAGTGAAAATTGCAAATTATTGATAAAAAAAAAAAAAAAACAGTATTCATATTATGAACCACATGCAGTAAGTTTCAAGCTTTAAAATATTTCCAAATAATCTAATCCAATCTGCTTTATTTATCTATCACATTTTTTTAAAACATTAAAGTTTACCAAAGCACAGAAAAATTAACAAACACTGCAGAAATAATAATA